AATCCTGCTTAGTTATTGAGCTTATACATTTTAAAGTTTAGCTGAAATTTTGATGTCTTTAGATGATCGGCACCATAACAGCATTAGCACAACCAGAATTAACCACCAATGAATGAATGTTTTCACCTGATTTCTTATCAATGATTTCTCTTGATAATAGAACAGGAGCAGCTTTGAATATATTTGTTGTGAAGACAGCAGATGCAGTGCATGGTTTGTCAGGATGTAATCAGAGCCAAATCTTTATTACCATTTTTTTTAATGCCACAATGTAAACCTGTTGCTTTAAATCCTTTGGGATATGTTCCAGAAGTAGGAATTAAATGCTTTTTATTACATGTTGTCCAAGAACTTGCGTTTCTTTTCATTGACCTATTAAATTTTATTGATTCAAATCTATTAGTGGAAGAAGAAAATGATATAATTTGATTATTATTGATACGAAAAGACTTTAATAAAAGTGACATTTATATTAATTAACAAAGTGAAAATTATTTATGGAAAAATTTATATTAATATACCGATAATAAATATATAATTTTTAAGTGTGAAACGAAAGATTATTATTATCTATCTTGATCAAATAAAATCAAAATCAAATCATATAATGATGATAGGAAAAATAATATCAGAGATTTCCCACTGCATGCCAATAACGACGTGTAACAACAGTTTAAAATTAAATTCGTTGTACATGTAGAATTAAAACGGAATGCGAGAATAAGATTTTATAGCTCTGGAATATTACTATGTAGCTGATAAACTCTCAAATAAAAATGGGCATATTTTTTTTACAAAGCATTTTATTTGTTAACTATATAAACTTGATTAAACATACTAATATACTAATATGATTTTAATATATAATTTCCCGCATGTTGTAAATAATAATTTTCACTCTCAAGTAAAAACATTCATGTATGATAAGATAGAGTACATCGAGAGCTTCCAGAAAAAATATGGCATGTATGAGATTTTATGAAGGAGGAAGTAATTAAAGGCAGAAAATCGTTTTTATAAGTTATTTATAAGTACTTTACAATAGTATAACTTTTTTCTTTTCACCGATACCAATAATTTCTTTTACAAATTATCAATGATTAGGCAATATAAGCAAGCACAACAATATATAGGACAAACTTTATTAAAATGTATATATAAGATTACAAGAGATATTTTATTTTATTTAATAATTATTATTAAATTACAAAATGAGATTGTTACTATATTATTAATAAAGTCTTTTACTGTCAAAGATCATACCTATTTATAAAAATTTCTAAAGTTTTTATTTTATTATTTTCTTTATATCTGCTAAAGAAAGGGCTCATTAATTAAAGAAAGTGATCATTAAATCTAATCCCTGCAAAGAGAATTTATTTTCATTATCCATGCCTTTTATTAATATCCATTAATATTATCATCATTAATACTTAAAAAAAGCGAATTAATTTTTTGTTATTCATATCTCTTATTATTATCTAGTTTCATTAACAAATATAAATCTTGTTTTAAACCTTCTTCGTCATGGATTCCAAGTTAATAAATTAACTCCAGGTTACTTTAATGAAAAGTTATTTACAGTCGGAACTTAAAGAAATGAATTTTTGTTATTACTATTCATTTATAATAAAAATCAACTCAATAAGGCGAAGATTTCTATTACTATTGTTTCGCTTTAATGTTTAAAGCTATTTTTGTATATGGTTCCGCATACAATAATAACCGTATCGAATGATTTATAGAAAAATACTAATATTAATATGTGTTCTAAAACAATCGGAACCTACTCCAACCTTGCTACTCGTTTTAAAATTCGTTAGAAATAGCATGTTGTATAAGCGAATGTATAAATTTTGATGCATAATTTTTTTAAACCGATTTTTTTTAAAAAATATATTAACTTCATTTTATCGAAGACTACTTAATAAAACAATGCTTTGAACCTAAAACAAGCACATCGGTTTCGACTGTAGCTATGATAACATTATTATTATTGTATGTTACAGGATCTCGAATGTTAAACACCAGTATTTTTAAATTCTTTTCACCGTCTCTAATCATTGTCACCAGTACTTACTTCGGGGTGCTTTCAATGAACCAGATGAAAAAGTTATTAACAATTCGGATCATTCCGATTAATTGGCGTTGAAATTTTTTCAATGATTGGTTGACGACTTCAGGACCTCGCTGGAAAAACAGATAAATAAAATAAATAATCCCTAGAATTGTAGATAGACTTTTAAAAGATAAAACCGACGATGTTTTTATTTTTTATGTAAAGCATTTTGGTAAAAGCAACAAACGTAGTGTCTTAGTGAAAAGGCAACAATTGTAAAAAGCCACGCTTTATTTTTGCTTTGGTGGGTAAGCAAGACTAATGTTGTTAACGATGATTAATAAAGTATTATCCAAAGGTTGATTGTAATAAGATTGTTATTGTAAAAGTAAGGATATTCTTAAATCGTCTAAATAAAAATAAACGACTGAAATAAAAGGAACTTTATAGAAGCCTTTGAGCTTTGTAAAAGAGTCATATTTATTTATTTGCGGTTATCCAGCACCATTGAGACTTGCCGAAACTTTTTAGGTACAAGAAAAAGGCAGTAGGTGAGAACCAAAGTAAATTCATAAATTAATTAATTGACAAGCACCGAGTTATTTATTATTATGTATTGGTTGCAATTGCACAAGAGTAATAGTCGGCCATACTTGTTAAATAATTGGCGTTAACAGGGATACCTTGTTTATATATAAATTATCAATGTTAATGTTATTCTCTAATATTCTCATTGCACAAATGTAAATTTTCAGAGAGTTACGATAGAGATCTATCGACTGAATATTTACTTGAACGAACATTATTAAAGAAGAAATTGATTGCAATGAAATATTCGAAAATTTATATTTATAAACAATAAAGTAGAGATTCTTTTGTAAAAGGGTCTAAATTGATTATCTTTTTTGAGATTCCTTTCAAAAAAAAATTTTCCAAATTAAGTAAATAGTGAATAAATAAGATTATAGAATTATTTGATAATCACACATCAATAATAATAATAACAGTAATATCTCTAATTTTTAACTGTTGTTCTTCTTTCCTTAGTAATTAATTTTTGCGAATATTTAATATTATTATTAATAGTAAAAGTAAAGGAAATTTAATAAAATGGTGCATTATTAGTTTCTTTTTTTTTTTTTGCATTCATAAAATTAATTATAGTAGCGATCAAAATTATTTATTTTTTCTAATATTTTATAGGCAGGAGCATTAGAAAATGCCAAAAAAAATTTAGAAACAATAAGAGATGCTGAAAAAGAAAGTGATTTTGGTTATGTATATGGAGTTTCTGGACCTGGTACTTTTTAAAATGACTTTATTGTTGCCATTATGAAAGCTACTTCTTTAGCAATTTCATTTTAATTCGCTATTGTAATTTTCTTTAATTTAAACCATCAAAATTGGAATATTTTTGACCGTCAAAATCACCAAACCAATTCAAATAGTTGTGGTCGCAGAACAAATGACAGGATCAGCTATGTATGAATTGGTAAAAATCAAACCAATTTTTTATAAAAATAATTATTTTAAATGTAATTATTGATTGATTGATTGATTGATTGGTTGATTGGTTGATATAGGTTCGAGTAGGTCATGAAGAGCTTGTTGGTGAGGTGATTCGTATAGATGGTGATAAAGCTACTATTCAAGTTTACGAAGAAACTGGTGAATAATCAATATATTTTACCTTTATTATTAAAATTAGCAGTACATATTTACTATATATCAATACATCATCAATCAATTAACCAATTATTCTTCAATGATAACAATAATAATGATTAGCTGGATTAACTGTTGGTGATCCAGTATTGAAGACAGGAAAACCTCTTTCAGTGGAATTGGGTCCTGGTAATAATTGTTATAATTATCAATTTGTTGTATTTTCTATGATATAAATGAAACAATTAATATGTGCATGTTTTTGTAGGATTAATGGCCAATATTTATGATGGAATTCAACGACCACTTAGAGTAAGATTATTAAATTAATAAATTTTTTTGATCCAATCAATCAATTTAAGCCAATTGTTAATCATTAAAAAATTTTTTTTTAGTCTATTCGTGAACTATCTAATAGTATTTATATTCCACGTGGTATTTCTACACCAGCATTAGATAAAAAAATTTCATGGGATTTCGAACCTTCTAGTTTCAAAGTACTTGCTTGTTAACTTACTTTCTATAAATGATTTTTTTAAAAAAAAAACAATTTGAAATTTATATCATTTAAAAAACTTGAATTTTGTAGTGTGGTGATCATATTACTGGTGGGGATATATATGGCAAAATTTTTGAAAATTCTCTAGTAAATGATCATTATATTATGCTACCACCAAAATCACTTGGTACAATCACACATATCGCAGATAAGGGTAGTTATACTTTAGAGGTAGATTGACACTTGCTCACTTTAAATCATTTTTATTTATCAAATCATTAAATTTATTTTAAATAATCATGAAAAAAAATTTAATCTTAAAAATTTCTCAACAATAAAAAGGATGTTGTACTTGAAACAGAATTTGAAGATCAAAAATCATCATATACAATGTTACAACTTTGGCCTGTTAGATCACCACGTCCTGTAACAGAAAAATTGTCTGCAAATTATCCATTGCTTACTGGTCAAAGAGTTTTAGATTCACTTTTTCCGTAAGGTTTTATTTAAATCACAACAACAACAACAGAAACAAAACATAAAGAAATTTTACTTATTTATTTTTTTGAAAATTTATTTTGAAAATAGTTGTGTGCAGGGTGGTACTACAGCTATTCCAGGTGCCTTTGGATGTGGTAAAACTGTTATATCACAATCATTATCAAAATATTCAAATTCTGATATTATTATTTATGTTGGATGGTAAGTAATAATAATAATAATAATAATAATAATAATAATAATAATAATAATAATTCAAATTATCATTACCATTATTATAATATTAAATTATTAATTATATATTAATTATGTATTTAGTGGAGAACGTGGTAATGAAATGGCTGAAGTATTAATGGATTTCCCAGAGGTAAAAAATAATTTATCTTTACTAAAGGATAAAACAAAAAAAAAATTTTTTCAATTAATTTACAAAATCTAATTTAAATATTTTACCCCGGGTGGTATTAATTTAGCTGTCTATTACTATTGATGGCCGTAAGGAATCTATAATGAAGCGTACAACATTAGTGGCCAATACTTCAAATATGCCTGTAGCTGCTCGTGAAGCCTCTATTTATACTGGTTGGCACGCATTAATTAATTAAAAAAAATTTTTTAAAGAAAACTATGCATAATTTTTATTTTATAACTATTGTTTTTTTTTAGGCATTACATTATCTGAATATTTCCGTGATCAAGGAAAAAATGTAGCAATGATGGCTGATTCAACTTCTAGATGGGCTGAGGCTCTTCGTGAAATATCTGGTCGTCTAGCAGAAATGCCTGCAGGTCATTACAATTAATCTTTAATAATAATACTTTAGGTTTTTTTTTCTTTAAAAAAAATTCACTAAAATATATTCAGAATTCCTTGCTTTCATGTAAATTTTAGATAGTGGATATCCTGCATATTTGGGTGCCAGATTAGCTTCATTTTATGAACGTGCTGGTAAAGTAACATGTCTTGGTAATCCCAAACGTGAAGGAAGTGTTACAGTAGTGGGAGCGTATCCTTTTTTTTTGGGAAAAAAAAAAGACCATAATAATCAAAATATTACACATATTGTTTATTCTCCTTAACATATTTTATTTGATTAATTATTAGTGTATCTCCACCAGGTGGTGATTTTTCAGATCCTGTTACAGCATCTACACTTAGTATTGTTCAAGTATTTTGGGGTTTAGATAAAAAACTTGCACAAAGAAAACATTTTCCATCTGTTAATTGGTCATTGAGTTATTCAAAATATCTTAAAGTTTTGGATTCTTTTTATGAATCAACCGAACCTGAATTCACCACTTTAAGAGATAAAACTAAAGAAATTCTTCAAAAGGAAGAAGATCTTTCTGAAATTGTACAACTTGTTGGAAAAGTATGTCTTTCTATTATTTTATTTTTCATTAGTTTAGTAATATTTATTTATTTGCTTTGTTTTTATTAGAGTGCGCTCGGAGAAGCTGATAAGATTACTTTGGAAATAGCAAGGATTATTAAAGATGATTTCTTACAACAAAATGGATATTCTTCATACGATCGTTTTTGTCCATTTTACAAGGTGGCTAAATAGAAAAAAAATTGACTTTAATGAAAAGTATGGAAAAAATAACTAATTATTTCGTTTTCATTTTTCAATTAAAAAAAAGACGAATTGGTTACTTAAAAACCTGATTGGATATTATACAGCAGCAACACATGCTGTTGAAGTCACTAATAATGAAATAACATGGTCAAAAATTAGAGAACATACAGCAGATATTTTATATAAGCTTAGTTCTATGAAATTTGAAGTATGTTTGTTTGTAGATATATTATTTATCAATATATTTATTGAAGATTAATTGATCGATTAATATATATATATATATATATTGATTCTTTGTTTAGGATCCTGCTGATGGCGAAGAGGTTCTTAAGGAACGTTATCAAAAACTTTATAATGAAATTCAAGAAGAATTTAGACATTTGCTTGAATAGAGAAAATTAAAAGAAAAAATTTTATAGTGGTTTATTATTACTGATTACTGTTAATTTAATTTATTTATTATTACTATTTATTTATTATTTTAATAAACTTGTGTATTAAACATTAAAGTATTATTATTATGTTATTTTAACCATCAATTGACTGATATATGCCATTTCAAAATTATTTCCTTTGATCTTTTTAACCTTTTTCCGAAACGAATCAAATGTATCATATTCCATCAATTAATCAATCAACACTTACACCTTTAGGTCTCAATTCATCTTTTGCTAACTGTATCTCCTTTTATTAAGAAAGGAAAAAAAAGAATGACTATTATTTAAAATGTACATCTTCTCATCGTCTCTCTCAAATAAAGAATACTTACCGCCATTAATTCATAATAGGCGTTTTCACAATTATTAAATTTAAATAGATGGTATCCAATATTGCCAAGTGAATAACTGCCAAATGATACAAGTACCCACCATGGTAACTAGTAATAATAAAAATATTACTATTATTATAATTAATAATGATAAAAATAATAATATAATACTTACAACAGGTAAAATTTCGTGTTGTATAATTTCAGGTAAGGTAATTATTTCTAAAAAAAATAATAAATAAACTAAAGTAATTATGCTAAAAACTATTGCAGTTTCTGTTGCTCTTGTCATATTTGCTATCAAAAAAGTTTATAGTGTTACAACATTTAAATTTCAATTAGAAACAATGTGAAGAACATTTAGAAAATGGACAAATTAATTATAATGAGTTTATTTAAATCCAACGAAATCATCATGTCGTAATAGTTATAAAGGAAAATGACCTTTTTTCCTAGAGACTAATCATATTTTTGTTTTAATATCCATAATTAAATTAAATATCTAATCAAACGAATGGTCCTAACTGGGTGGGTTGTTTATGAAATAGATTTAAAATACAAAAAAATACAATAAACAAGAAAATTTTAATTTTTCAATAGCCAATTTTGAAGCATTAGATTAATTATCAATCATCTTTTTATTTTCCACAAACAGTTGAAAAATGCTTTTCTGGAGGCGGTACTATTTTCCGAGCCTTTCTTTATATTTTTATTATTAATTTTTATTTCTTTTTTCAAACCCCCCCCCGTATAGTTAATAATACTATGTTTAACAATATATTATTATGCAAAAAACTCAATTTTGCCCTAACCACAAATCTCCAAATGGATATTTGAAAAACAGTATATTTTACCATGTTTTGCTATTACTATTACTATACAAATTTTCAGAAACGGAGATTTGGAAGTCAAAAATATAATAATAAAAAAAAAGCTTGAATTTTACAATTTCCGCCCAAAACTATCTTCTATTAGACTAAATAACGAATGCATTCAATAAAACTTGGGATCATTTTAACAAAAGCATTTATGAAAAATTTTTTTGGCGTTTTCTCAAATGTTAAATATTATAAATATTATTAGCATTATCAAAGACTGTTTTTTCACCTTTTTCATGCGCAATAAGCACTACTGGGAGCTAATATGATGATTGTTCATGAAGTCTGCAATCACTTTCGGCCGATTAAGTTATATCGCTGCCTGACTGTTATGGCCCTCTTCTGCATAAAATTTACAACATCTAACATATAAACTCCATCGTTCGATTAGCATTAGGCCAGACACTGCTTTCAAGAGCCAATAAAGTGTAAATTTTCTGTACAAATTTTACAACAAACCTCGCAAATGATGCGAAGCATGTGACTTTTAAATCCTTGAGAAAGAAAGATAAACAAACAATGGTAAAAATAATGATGACAATGTATCAAGAAAGCTATATCCCGAAAACATAGGCGCCGCTTTAATGATAACAACAAACAGGTTGATAACAAAAAACATTAAGATTTTTTCACAATTCAATGAGGCCTTGGATTGGCATTTAATTATTATTATTATCATTGATTCTTTTGAAAGTGCATAACCATGAATGTTGTTATATCGCCCTTACTCAAATGGCTAAATAAATAAACAAGATCAATTTTGTCCAGAATGTTACATATTTATTAAATGCTATCAAATATGATATACTTTTGTAAAGCGGTTGTGATGGTCGATTAACTTTTATTAACTCTATGCCGTCAGAATTCATGCACGTCTATATGGAAAAGGAGCACAATTTTTACAAGAAGATTGTGTTAAGAGAAGTGTTTTTAATTAAGAAATCTTTAAGTGATAAAAATAATGTTATTATGTATGAGCTCATACAAAGCTAAAAAATAAAAATAAATTCCATTTAGAACTTGGTTTTTGTAACGAAACAAGAGTTCTAGATAATGAAACCCTTCAACATACTCCATATTTGAATCATTCCTATTTTTGTAAAAACTGTACTATTTGTAATTTTAAAGAATCGTCACAAGGCGTCAAGATAAATGTCTCGTCAATTATGTAAAAAATATTTAAACTCACAATTTAATGCGATGTAGCATGAATTAAAAAATAATGGTGCTGTTTTAGTTTGTGATTATAAAATGAAAAAAGTTCATGTGAACAAAAACATTTTTTTTCGAAAAGAAAGCTGAACACTTTTCAAATTGTTATTATGTCAATTTTTAATGTCACTACTTTGTTGCAAAAAAATCAAACTTGTTATCGTAAAATCTAAGGCTAATGCATTCCACAATAATTTACTTAAATAACTTTTCAAATCAAACCAGAAGGCGATTTCTAAATAAAGCAAAAATATGTAAAGAAACCAATAGAGCAATGAAAATACTGTATAAAACCCAAATGTAATTATCTCGTTTAACTTGATTGTCCTTATTCTTCTTACGTTTAAAATTTTGCAAAATTCCTTTCGAATTATTTTTTTCATACCTATCACTATTACTATTACTATAATTCTGGAACCGAATCCTGATATGGTAATATCCTGGACTGTATTTATATTAATCAATTTATTCATATGACATAAATATTTATTAATCAATTATTTGTATTGCTCAGTTGACCCAAATATTTATTAAGCATTAATAATTGCCAGTAATACAAAAATTAGTATTAATAAGCATATTTTATTGGTCAAAATATTGTAAAAGTCATGTTAATTTGTAATACCTCAAGAGGTATAAAAAGGCTTGGTTTTAGGCCAATTGAGAATCATCAGGTTTATGATAGCATAGTGGACATTTGATTTCATTGGCTAATTTTTGTGATGATCTCCCCTTCGAAATATCACACAAAAATCGAATCTTATTGGCTTGAATATCATTGCCAAAAAAAATTTTTAATAAACGCGT